TTGCGTGCTGACGCCTCCGAGCCACGCCGATTAAAGTGTTGGATGGTCTGAGCATGCCCAATGGGAGCATTGCTGTGCAGTGAAAGCCAGTTTGCTTGGCGCTTGTTGTTGGTAGCGTGCTGCAGCCTTTCGTCCATCTCTTGCCATTTCTTGCCTGCCACACCAGAACGACGTTGGGCTGAATGGCCACGCCAATGGNNATGGCAAGGCAAGGTATTCCATGTTATCCCATGTTCAAGTCACTGTCAGTTTGCATTCGAGGGCTTGCATGCGGACGCCTCTGAGCCATGCCGATTAAAGTGTTGGGTTGATCGACCACCACATACCCTGCAACTCAACTTAAGGCTTTGCCTGGTATCAATTAGAGCTGACAGAGAACCCTGCGGCGATTGTGCAACTGACCGGTGATCAGCCTGAAGAAGTGAATTGCACTGCAGCCTCTCATCCATCTCTTGCCTGCCGTATCAGAACGATGTTGGGCTGAATGGCCACGCCAATGGCAAGGCCAGGAATAACATGTCCAAGTCACTGAGTGGGTGTTTCGAGGGCTCGCAGATTTGCTTCTCTGCCCCATGTCGGCACACTGCATCTGAGCAGAAAGTGGCCCGCATCTCAACTGTGGCCTTTGCCTGCATGATTCCAGGGCTGCAAGGGGACCTTGCTGTGGCAGTGGAGCAATTCGAGACTTTTTCCGTGCTTAGTACCACCCGCATCTGTTCTTGGCAGGCTACCTACAAAAGCAAAGAGCTCGATGCGGATGCTCCTCCGTTTCATCCGCCAGCGCGGAAGCCCAGACGACATTAAAACTAAACAAAGTTCGTCAGAAGGAAACATTGCTCGAGATGGGCACAACGCATGTCTGGAATCCGCAGTGAACTAAATCAGACCAGGCTGAGCAATTTCGACCGCACGGTCGGACAACATGCCGGGAAGTGTATAGACATTCGGGGACTCCACTATATGTACCCTCGTTGCATGCTGGGTTTGCTTTTTCGCACCTTGTCAGCATGCAGGACACGGCAGCTCAAACAACAACAGAGAGTTCATGCTGTCTTTTGTCGCAGATCAGAGCTCTGGGAAGTATCACTGAGGCCCCGCGCCGGGGACAAGTTAAGTTGCCTCCCGAAAGAAACCAGGTGGTCCCAAATCTGTGTTTGAGAGACAGAACCCTGAACAGCTGCACCGCTAAAGGTTATGGCAAGTTGCATTGCGCAAGGGGTTAGCAGATATAGGCAGGCCGCAGCTAATTGTGCTCGCTTCGCTCAGGCCCGGCCACCGGGCATCAGCGGCAGTGTGGACCAGATGTGGTCCCAGGCGAAGTATCGCGTATTTCGGCCAGTGGGCATTGGACCTCGAGTATTTGTTTTTGTTGCCTAGACAAGTCTGGACCGTGCGCTGGGGGTTCACAAACCATGGCCGAGATCCGAATGGTTGCACGCTTTTCCATCCGAGTGCTGGAAATGCTTGCTCGGAGGCACAGATGACCGCAGAGAGCCTCGGCTTGACTCGAAGATATGTTTGTAATTGTGTTCTGTACATATGTTGCGGCCACCAACTAACTTGACTGCGAAGAACACATACTCTCTGAAGAGTTCTATTGATCGAATACGCCATGTGATCTGGACTGGGTCAGTGCCTCCACTCTGACCGGGGAGGATGGAAGGCGACTGACGTATCAAATTCCCTGAGTAGAGTTTTCAGCTAGGCAGACTTTGTTCGCCACTCAGCTGCGAGAGTAGAGAGAGAGAGAGAGAGATTGAGAGCGTCGTGGATGATCGTATCCTTCGCTGAGAAAGGAGCTAAATTGGGCGGGGGGTACCCCACCCCCACCCCCAGCTAGCCCACCCCACCCCACCCTCACNNACCCCCTCACCCCACCCCACCCCACCGGTTCCCGGCTTGGCTTGGATAAAGTTGAAGAGAAAGAGGTGCACCGGCAATGGCGAGGGGAGTTGAAAGAGGACATCGACACGAACTTGCTGAGGGTGCGTAAATTCCCAGTGCGCGGTGGACACGCTTAAGTTTATGTTACGTAGAACCTGGAGATGCTCAGTCATGTCAGCCAGAAGTTTGGTTGGCATCTCCGTAAGCTGCTCCACTGCTGCTGGCGGTGTTACTTCTTGTCTGTGGCCAGTCTGGTCACATCCCTGCAAACCAGATGCTCATGAAGCAGCCAAGCGGTTTGAATAGAGAGCGATATAGTTACGGTACAGGTGTCCTGCGGCCTGCGCACTAGGCCGCGCATTCCCACCAGGGAAATGCCACATGCTTTACCTTTTATTCGTGCACAAGGCAGGGATGCAGATCACAAAAGATTCTTTACGATCGAAAAAATCTTATCCGATTAAGAAACTTTTCTACAGTCAATTTCCCTTTGCCATAGAAGAGAAGAA